TCCTTTTTATAATTGTAGTATAAAGGACACCAAAATCCTATTCTGATTATTAAGGCCTCCATTTTTAGCGTTTTAGAGTCCTGGGCACCACAGGGGCGCAGATGAGGGTTTAGGGTTTAGGGGTTTAGGGGTTCAGGGGTTTAGGGGTTTAGGGTTTTTTTAGGGGTTTAGGGTTTATGGGTTTAGGGTTTAGGGTTTAGGGTTTATTTACACCGGCTGGGTGTTCGAGAACACAGGGCCGGTTGTCGATCGTTGCGGCCGTTGCCAGAACTGCATTTATCGGGCACAAAACCCAAGATCGCGGCGGGTTTGCTTGGCTCCACCACAAAATTGATGCCACAGAAGGCCAGCGTCGCCGAAGCCTGGGCCGAGAAGAGTAGGATCCTCCAGAGAGCTCGGTCATTGGCTTCGAGCCCCTCGGCACGGACGAGGACAGGCCCAACGGCGAAAGAAAGAAGCCGAGAAGGGAACAGAGAACGAACAAGTCTTGCGTGAAGCGCCTGAAATTGAAGTGCTGGGCAAGGGTGGGTTTTGGGGCTTTAGGTTTCGGGGGGATTCTGTGTTAGGGTTCAGGGCTTTAGGGTTTAGGGTTTTAGGGGTTCAGGGTTTTGAAGTTTAGGGCATTAGGGCTTTAGGGTTTTTCGGGTTTAGAAAGTTTAGGGTTTAGTGTTTCAGGGCGTAGTAATTGGGCTACTGACTTTATAAGGTTTTTGTTTTTCTGATATCATGGAGGCGTCGCTGTTTGTTTTTTTTGGGAGGGCGGTCGCATGACTATTGTTGGCTCGTTTCCGTTTTGCCTTGGCGGGTCCGGTTAAAGTTCCCTAAACCCTGAACCCTAAACCCTAAAGCCCTAAACCCTGAACCCCAAAACCAAAAGCCAGGGCTTCGCCAATGTCAAACCTCGAGCTCATGAGGTATTACAGGGGCCTTGATAATTAGAACAGGGTTTTGGGGTTTAGGGCTAAGGGTCTAGGGCTTAGGGTTTACGATTTAGGCTTTGGGGTTCCTTTAAAGGGTTCCGTAAAAGGGATACGAGAAGGGCTATAAGGGTTCGATAATATAGGGGCCTTGATAATTGGAATGCGGTTCTGGGGTATAACATATCACAATCATACAAGGGAAGCCCGACAGAGTCTTAATTCTTTCCTTATGGACCAGATGACCCTTACAAGTTGGGGCCCTATACCCTTATACTGTAAATCCCTATATGGTATATGAACCTTAAACCCTTTCAGGGTTCATTTCGTCCTCAAGGTTAGGCCCCCATATTAGCTGCGAGTATCTGAGTAAACGGTTGCAGGGATAGGGTGACAGCAGTGTAGGGCTGGCATAGGACCCACCCTGGATCCTAACCCCAGTCCCAAAACGGTAGACCAAACATCTCGACAAAAAACGGTTTAAGGGTTTCGAGTTTAGACCTAAACAGGCTGAACCCGCGAACCCTGAAGCTTTGAACCGCAAACTCGCCGCTGGGTGCACTGTTTGAGGCTGCCAAGGACAACACGAAGAAGGAGGAGACATGTTAGTTGTGAGTCGTCAGAGTTTACCGGTTTGGCTGTGGACACCTTTGGAGTTCAAGGAGCTAAGGCCCTAAACCCTAAACCATAAACAACCCCAAGCCGGGCTTTAAGTGTGGCTGTAGAAGGTGCAGGGTATACGGAAATTTGGACTCAGGTCCGAAGACATGATATTCTAACTACCCGAGGGGTAGGACTCCGGAAGCCTAGCCTGAGCTACCACAGCCTAGCTTTTATCTGTAGGTTCGTAGCTCCAAAAAAAGTGGGTCATGTAGCTTTTAATAGTGTAATATAGTGGCCCAGATAATTGTCTATACTTTTTTTTTTTT